TGAATCTGTTCGAGAGAATTTAGGTGTGACACCAATAGGCGAGAAAATGAAAGAGAATAGTCTTAGGTGGGCTGGCTATGTGTGGCGCCGATCAAGTACAACACATGTTAGGAGATGCAGATTAGTTCAAAGTGGAAGGACTGAAAAGGGCAAGGGGTAGGCCTAAAGGATGTGGTTGGAAGTAGTCCGAAAAGATATGGGGACTTATGGCCTTGCTGAGGATATGACCTTTAATAGAGTAGATTGGAGAACCAGGATTCATGTTGCTGACCCCAATTAATTGGGACAAGGCTAAAATGATGATGATGAACTTGTTTGGATATGAGGTCGATCATCACCTTGACAAATTCTGCTGTCTAGAACACCACGTTAAAGGGAGCCTGCAACTTGTCTATTGGCGGTAGGAGTTGTTTAGACCCAGGGGTGCTTATTCATGTCAGAGTGCTACATGACCTTTGGGAGAAACACATAGTAGTGGAATCCACTGTTTCTTGGTCATGAAATTTCTTTCCTCCACGTCAGTTGAGATTTTAATATTTGCCTTTTATCTATCACAAATCATCCTATGGAAGCAAGCAGTGTTTCAACTCCCTTATTTCCATTCAACTCGTGACTGTTGTCTCTTATACAGTCTCTTGCTTCAAGATAATTTCCTATTCTTCTTTGATCTATTTTGTGACGCCATGTCCTCTTCAATCAGATCCTCATTCCTTCCTATCTCTTCTTCCGACATCACTTGAAGCAATCTCCTTTCTATCCTCCAACGGACCCTACACCATTCTATTCCAACCTTGACTTGATTTTGAGGCCTTGTATTTCTTTGGGGAGGCACAAGATGAGGCTTTCTCACTCACAAGAGAACCAACATTCTTCCCCCAATTCCTTCAGACCAGGCAGCTCAATTCATAAATTCTCAATTCTGAAATGAGGGTGACCCAAATGCATGGGAAAATATTTTCATTTTTTTTTCTTTTTTGTGATTTTTTTTGGGTTTGTGGGGGGCTGCTGGAAACTTGTTTTTGTAGGGCATTGATTAACGTCAATCAGTAAACTTGTTTTTGTATGGCATTGATTAATGTCAATCAGTACTTCCCACTCAGCTGAAATGAGGAAGCAATCCCGCTTTTAGGCATCACTGGACCCTCCCATTATTAGTTCTCATTGTTCTTACGTTTCTGAAAAGAATCATGTCACTATTTTTTATGGGATCTTCTAACCCTCCTTCCTTCTGGGATTATAATTTGACTGAGAAGTTGATACCCCTACGTCACCTGCTAGCCTACATGTTGGTATGATAATTAACTGATCTCACCTGGTTTTGAGTTCCTATGGCCAATTCGCTTCCCTTTTCCTCCTTTATGAACTGTGCTTTCTCCTTTCTATCTGGTAGCTTATATTGCTGCATAACCTCTTCAAAGTTGCCTTCTTAGGATGTAGGTATGGTAGTAAACAAAGAATCCCATTTATGCATAAGTAGGCTCTTCCTTCTTCCCCTAAGTTCCTGGTTCTCATCTTATAAAGACCTTAATGTCGATCAGTTCTACCCAGTCTATTGCGAACTTTTTAACAGCTTGGCTTCCAAACTTGGTTTGCATCATGTCTGGCATTGTAGCATACATCCAAATGGATCTGAGCAGTGCTCCGCTTTTCACCTGGCCCTCTTCACAAGGGAATACAATGGCACTGCTAAAGAGGCCAATTGTACCTCATTTGACTATGCACATTGTTTTCCTTTATGTTGTTTCGTGTGCAGCTTGTATAGCCATATCTTTCTGATCTTGCCTTGCTCTCTTATATAAATCCACTTTGAAACCTGATGAATCTCCTGCCTGCCCCTATAAGTTACTCCAGGGAAACCCAGAGTGGGAAAAATCCTCCCTCTGTATGGCTTCGTGCTTCCTCACACTGCTTAATTCCTTTGGGGTAGTATCAATCTTCCTGCCACACATTGACACGTGCCCCCCTTCTATAGAATATTGCTATTCCAGCCAGTTTGTAATAGTGCTAGTGTAGATCTAGAAATAAGTTGCAGATGAAAATGCAAATGATATGGCTTGTAATGACTTTCATTCTGCAACAATTAATTAGTCTCATGGAAATGAAACAAATAATGCTCGATTTTCATGTTATCTCTTGCTGGTCATATTTGTTCATTGGGATTCAGAATGATTGAGGTAATTGTCTACGTGGGTTATTCCCAGTTGTAGCTCATGAAGTAACTTATATTTCAATGTTCTTATAGACCCTTTGGTCTCTTGAGCATAGCAGAAAAACTGGGATGGTGGGTGCCCTTTGCATATGACAAATTTTGGCTTTATTTCTATCTTATAAGATGGTGGGTGGAGGGGTTTAGGACTATTAACCATCTTCATTTACTTGAAATAAGGCTTTATTCATCACTTTTGTATAACCTTTGGTTTGTCAGATTTTTCATTAACTTGTGGTTTATTCTGGTCTTATTCAGTATCCTCTGTAGGATTGTAATTGAATTTTGTTGGTTGTTTGATTTGCGCACTTTTTTATGATGTTTGTTGATTTTCTTGTTGAACAGCACTTTAGAGAGAGAAAATGTTTGCATTATTATTTTGTTGGTTTGTAGCTCCTTTTGTATTTTTTGTGTACATTGTTAACAAGTTTTGCAGTGTGCTGATACAATAGATCTCCTAAAAAGGAATACTATTACATTTCCGCGTGCGTTTTTTTTCTTGGTTTAGTTTTGAGTAGAAGATTATAACATGATTGTTTTGTATTTTGCAGACATACACATTGTTTATTCAATATAACTGAGATAGGTTTCTGTTTAAAAATTCCAGGGGTGTATTCATCTTTTGGAGAACCTTCTGATGGTATGTGTGTCGCTTGAGCAGTTTTAAATGATTGATGATTCTGGGTTCAACAATTCTGAAAGAATGGAATCAAATGTTTCTGTATCTGGAGAGATTTCAAATGGAAATATGTGTGACTCAACTGATCTTGAAGCAGTAGAAGATTTCGAGGGAAATGAGCATATATCTCCAAATAATGAAAACATGAATACGGGTGAAAATAACAAAAACAAGCAGGAAAGTACGGACAAGAAAGGGGTGGATATTTCAGCAGGGAAGGCAATAATTAATTGTGAAGTTCGTAGAAATATAGAGCCATTTGAAGGCATGGTATTTGAATCCGAAGAAGCAGTGAGGACCTTCTATAATGAATACGCTCTCCAGATGGGTTTTGGCATCCGAAACAGTGTTAACCGCCGTAAGAATGGTGAGAATATTAGTCGATACTTTGTGTGCTCCAAGGAAGGTCACCGTGAGAGGAAGCACCTAATGAGTGAGCAGCCAAGACCACATACAAGAGAAGGGTGCAAGGCATTAATTTATGCAAAGAAAGTGGAATCTGGACAGTGGATCATTAGGAAATTTGTCAAGGACCACTCTCATCCAATGGTCTCTCCAAACAATGTGGTGCTGCTTCGATCTCATAGGCGTGCAGCTAATAGAGAAAAAAACTTCATCAGCACTTTTGACAAAGAACAAAGCATCCATGTTGAAGAGAAGAGTCGAGAACTCAATGTCCAAGTGCGAGACAATAATAGTTCTCGTGAACCCCTGACCTTGCGATACAATGATCTCCGAGAGCACGCCCTTAAAGTTGCCGCTGAAGGGGCGACGACGGCCGGGAGCTACCGTATCGCAATGCGTGGTATACAAAAGGTTCTGCATGAGGTTATCATGGCCAAAGTTAAGATGATCACACATATAGGTGGTGTTCAAGGAGGTAATACTAGCGACGAGAGTCAACCAGCTTCCACTTTGGAGAATGTGAATTTTGATGATCCTCAACAGACAATGACAAGAGACTGCACCCCCACAACTAGACTAAATCTAGGCTGGGAGAATTCATCAAAGAGGAGAAAGACATGTGTTAATTGTAAAAAGCAAGGTCATGACAAACGTACCTGTTCATATTCAGATTCAAGGGGGTAATTGAAAAGGCTGCTTTTAGAATTTTTCACATAATACAGTTGTTTCTTTAATGGGGGATTTTCAACCCTTGATAATTGGAAGTTATTTTTGTTACTCAGGACGACTTCTGATAATGTTACGTGTGTTCCAACGAGTGCCGTCCCTGAGAATGAATTTGTCCATTCCACTCAGGTATTTATAACCTGCTTTGTCTGCTCAAATCACTATTATCTATTGTTAAGGATTTGCTTACTTGCTTATAGATTTAGATTATTTATTTCTTGGTTTTGCAGGTTTCTATTGATGGACAACAAAGATTTGAGCTTGGAGGATATGCAGAAAGATGAACATTGTAAATAAAGGTGCTGTGTTCCCTTGTAAAGATGAGTAAGTTGGTAGTGATTTTTATCTAATATATGTGTTGTGCTTTAAATTCACTTCTCTGTTAAATGATCTTATCATTCCAATAAATTGATAGAAACATCACTCTATAAAATAAAAAATACTTTATAAAGAGAACGAATCATTTACTGACTTGTGAAGATGAAAGTTTCAATGTTCTTGTTTAATTGTGTTGTGCATTTTCACAATTCATGAAATCATCACAATAGTGAACGAATCATTTACTGACTTGTGAAGATGAAAGTTTCAATGTTCTTGTTTAATTGTGTTGTGCATTTTCACAATTCATGAAATCATCACAATAGTGCACCGTGAAAATACAAGAAAGATCTTTTGAAGCACAGGATCCTTAAAAATGTTTTCTTCTAGCACTCACACCCCTACTATTGCATGGTACAAAAATAAATTAGTTCTTTCAATCTTTTGATTTCTAAACATTTAAATTATTGGGTTTGATTATCAAATGGCTTTTCATAATTTCCTTGAATTACGCTGGGGATGGGAAAATACGTTTTCTCTTTGTACTTGTCAAATGAAAACTAGGATCATTAGCTGAGCACCGATTTCATTGTTTCACTTGTTCATTCCTCCATGTAAAATTGTGTGACTGATATTTTGAGAAGAGCTAACTTTTATTGATGTGTCTCTATATTGGATTGATTGTTTAATGTTTTCATCCTGTGTTGGACGAATCCATGTAGGTGATATCAATCTTGAATTATAGGATAGCAATCCAAGGTCTGCATGATTCATTCACCGAGGTTCATTAGGTTATCAGGTGGGCAACTTCAAGGCGCCTGGAATACCCCTGTATATTTTGGTCTCTCCCTCTCTTTCATTTTCATGTGACGGAAGTGTTACTTGCAGTTTATGTATATTTTTGTCACCGTTATAACTGTTTTTTTTTAATTTAACCTTTCATTTCATCAAACTTTCAACAGAGTACAATCATCAGAGAACCAGAAAAACGGCTATTACAAACATAAATAAAAAAAACAAATACAAGAAAATAAAAACACTATCAAAACAACAAAACATTTAAATCTTACAAAGCAACTCTATCGTTTACCAATCGATCAGCTTCCATATTTGATTCACGAAAAACATGATCAAATCTCACAATCATACCTTTGCATTCAGCAGTCGCTTCTCTTACTAACCCCTGTAAAATCCAAGACAGATTTTTTCTTTATCCACTCAATTACATTAAGTGAATCCCCCTCTATGAAGACTGGTTTGCTAAATTGTTAACTCAGTTTTAACTCCCTGAAGCAAAGATCTGAGTTCAGCTTCATTAGTTGTATCTGAAAATTTTAACAAAACATTTCCTCGACAGTCACAGATGAAACCACCTACCCTTGCCGGACCTGGATTACCCAATAAACTTTCATCAAAGTTCATTTTTATCCACCCATCCTCAGGTGCTTTTCAAATCCCAATTCTAACCTCTTTAGAACTTCTTTCTTTTAGCAGGATATGCAAATTATACATCAAATCTGTTTGTGACACCCCTCACCACATCTTGTTAATAGCTAACCACTCTACAACAGTAGTTTTAATTTTTTCCTGTATCTCCCCACTCTACAACAGTAGTTCTAATTTTTTCTTGTATCTCCCCAAGTGATTTGCTTACACTTTCAAAACATCGCCTATTCCGTTTTTTCCATATCTCCCGGCAGCTTTGACCACTTTCAATATAAATTTTCCTTTCTTACCAACTTTTGTTAGATCCCATTCAGCAGTGAATCTACAAGCTTGTGTTTGAAAATTTACTTGTACCACCAACCGTTTAAACACCCATCCCCATATCTTCTTCCCATCAGGACAACTAAAAAACAAATGTTCCACTTATTCTTCATCACATTTACATATTGAACATACAATAGGAAAAATTTTCCCTCTTTTTATCAACATATCTACTGTTAACCGTTTCTTTTGGGTTAACAACCAGATAAAGGAACGAATCTTAAGGGAAACCGGCCATCTCCAAACTTTTGCAAGACTTTTATCTTCCCATCTCACGCTATCATAATACATTAACTGATATGCAGACTTAACATAAAACTTACCAGAACTAGTTGGAAGCCAGATATATCTATCAACTTCATCAGGGCAATAAAAATGATGCTGCAACAAAATTAGATAATTAATTAGTTGATATGCCATCACATTACTAACTCCTTCGATAAGAACATTGAATATCCCAAATTGTGTTAAAGCCTTACCATTTACCATCTCACTGACCAATTTGCTTGTAGTAATAACTTCAGCAAAGAGATTAGGAAATTGAAACTTTAAAGGGCAATTATCTATCCAGTTTTGCTGCCAAAATCTAACTTCATCACCTTTTCCTACAATCACTTGCACATTACTTAGAAAGAAAATCCAATGAGCAACAATACTTTTCCATATAGAAGTAATGCCCTTTTTATTATTGCCCCTAGCAATAAGGCCATGTCCAATATCACACCCATATTTTTCCCCCAATATTTTCCTCCATAATTGATCTTTCTCATTTGCAGCTCTCCACCACCACTTAGTTAAGAGAGTACTATTCATAGGTTTAGTCTCTTAATCCCCATCCCCTTCATCAATTATTGGAGTACTTACCTTTTTCCACTTAACTAAATAAAAGTACGTCTTATTTTCATTTTCTCCTCGTAGAAACCTTCTCATAATCCCTTCCAACATGTTTATCACTCTTGACGGTAGTTGGTAAAGAGAAAATAAATCGGCAAATTTGCTAAAGTTGATGTAATGGGAGTAAACCTTCTTCCAAGAGATAACAGTTTAAATTTCCAAGGATGCAGCTTATATTGCAATCTCTGAACCAATACATCCCAAAAAGCCGAAGGTCTATTACTAGATACTAGAGGCAGTCCTAAATACCTAATAGGAAAACTTCCAACCCCACAGTTTACTAATTCAACAAACTCACTAACCTTACTTTCATCACATGCCACTCCAAAAATGTGTGTTTTTTGGAGATTTACTTTCTGACCAGTGATCACCTCAAAACACTTTAGGAATATCTTGAGAGATTTAATTTCTTGTTCATTTGCCCCACAAAATATAAGGGTATCATTAGCATATTGTAGATGTGAGACCACGGTCCCATTATTCGTGACTGTAAAACCATTAAGAATACCCATATCAACAACTGAAATTAGGGTCACACTAAATATTTCCCCCATAATTGTAAAAAGGAGAGGAGAGAGAGGATCCCCTTGCCTAATCCCTCTTGATGCCTTAAAAAAACATTTAGGTTTACCTTTAATCAAAATTGAGAAATGAGTAGATTCCAAACAACCCCTAATCCATTTCAGCCTTCTATCACCAAAACCCATCACCTTCATGGTTTGCAATAGGATTTTCCACTCAACCTTATCATATGATTTTTCCAAATCAATCTTATATATAATTCCTGGTTTATTCTTAGCAATCCTTGAACTTATAATCTCCTAGGCACATAAAATACTATTCAAAATCTGTCGGTTTTGGATAAAGGCAGACTGTGGCCCTTTAACAACCATGGGTAATACTCTTTTAAGCCTAATTGCCAAACATTTTACCAAATTCTTATACATAATTGTCAATAGACTGATAGGTCTAATGTCTTTTAGGCTTTCAATAATCCCTTTTTTTTGGATCAGAGCAATAAAGGTTAAATTGATACTTCTATTAACCACCCCTCTATCAAAAAATTCATTAACCATACAAAAAATTTCAACCTAGAGGAAACCCAATAATTATGAAAGAACCTTAGAGGGAACCCATCCGGTCCTGGTACTCTATCTCCTGCCAAGCTCAACACAATTTCCTTTATCTCTACTTCTGAGAAAGGTCTCACCACCCATTCAAACCACTCAAGAGACAATTTGGAGAATGGCACCTGACTGAAATCAATTTTGGGTACAAACCTAGCAGAGAAGGCTTCCAGAAAATGCTTTACAATAGCATTTTCCAAGTCGATCTTCCAATACCCCATCAAGCTTTAAACCCTGAATAATGTTTGCTCTCTTCCTAGCATTTGTCGTAGCATGGAAGAAGCAAGTATTAAGATCTCCCTTTTTCAGCCATCTCACCCTAGCTCGTTGCTTCCAATAAATTTCCTCCTCCATCAAACATCCCTATAATTCCCTATTAAGATTGTTTCTAAGAATTATGTCCTCACACTCTATAACTCCCGAATTCCCTTCTTTCACGTCAATTTCAGAAATTTTGAATTCTCTTGTAGTTAACACCATTATTCTGGTTCCATCTAATAAGTTGCTTTTTTACACTTTGCACCTTCTTAGAAACTCTGAAACCACTCCAACCTACCACCCCTGCATTTAACCAAACATTCTTTACCAACTCATTAACATCTTTATTCTTAATCCATGCCATTTCGAATTTGAAATACCCTCTCCTATGTATAGGTGTTTTACTTTTCCAGATCAGAGGGATATGATATTATGAAAGTTTAGGAAGGCCTCTGACCCCAGCCTTAGGAAACTGTTCAACCCAACTGTTGTTGACTAGAAACCCATCCTATTTAGTCATAATAGGGTTAGTACAACAATTGTTAGACCATGTGAAATTGGTCCCAGTTGCTCGAAAGTCCAACAATCCAAATTCAGAGATAAAATTCAAAAGACCTCTCATGCAAGAATTGATCTTGTGAGAGGTACTAGATTCTTCAGGCCATTTAGTGCCATTAAAATCCCCACCTATAGTCCAGGGAAAAGAGAATTCCCTACCAAATTTAGAAATTTCATCCCAAAATCTCGATTGTAACATAGGAGAATTCAGCCCATATGCATTCGTAATCATGAAATAAAAATTACCGGATAAAAGCAAAAAGCTACAAGAAACAGACTAGATATCAACAACGATCTATATACATTGAAGGACACTAAGGTCCCATAAAGTCCAAATACCATCAGAGACACCTATAGAATCTTTGCAGCAAACTTGTAGAGGTCTGTTCTCCCACAAAGATTTAACAGCAAAAAAAGTAGGGCTAATTACTTTAGTTTCTTACAACAAAACCACATCAGGGCATTCATGCTTAATCAAAATTAGAAGCTCAAGTTTATGCTTTCTATCACACAAACCCTGAATGTTCCAAGATAAGACCTTAATCATTTAGAAATAGATGAGATGTGTATGGTAGCATATCTGCTAGCAGGCATAGAGCCAGACTAACCAACAATCTTCTTCTTACCTTCTTTACCTCCACTAGAAGAAACAACACATCTTTTATTTGTTGTAAGCTTGCTGGATGATTCCTTATGTTCCCCCTTTCTTTCCATCTGCCTTCTTCTTCTCTTGACAATCAGGGCTGGGTAGGGCTGTCACAGCTTCCACTATTTCTTATGTTGATTCCGGAGAACGCACTTTCATCCCTTCAAGCATAAGCACCACTTGATCATGCTCATACTGATCTCCCGCAATAGCTGGCACCATTCTCAGAGGAATAGCATCTTCGATTACTTCTTCGTCTCGCCACTAAAACTTTTTGAAAACTCTCCCACCTTCGTTCGAGATTTCATCAAACTGTCATTCAAGGAGTTATTTTAATTTTCCCTATCGATCACAATAACAAGTTCTTTAGGCCAGTCACTACCATCAGACTCATTAGGGAGTTTTATCTTTCTTGCAAACACCGATTTTCTGTAGGGGAGAAGACGTCGAAATCCATTCATCTCTTCAATTATGAACTTTGATTTCCCTGGTTTCACCATGCCACGCTCTGCACTTATAAACCGGTCTTGAATAACTTCCTCCAAGCCATTCTTCAAATTCTGAGACAACGTATCCCTAAATTCCAGCGTTTTTCCTTACCCATCACCTCTTACCAAGGCACCCATGCCCTCCACCTGTCGATTACAATTTGTCCTTCGAGATTTCAAAAACTGACCTGACAATTCACTTCCATCAGA